GAGAGAGAGAGAGAGAGAGAGAGAGAGAGAGAGAGAGAGAGAGACTGACCTGCTCCTTGGACGTTGTCGGCGGCTCGCTGGTCCGACGGCGGGGGCTGGAAGTTGCCGGCGGCTGGCTGCTTCTTGGACGTTGGCGGCGATGGCGGCTTCCTCGTCGATGGCTGCAGGGCTGCAGTGGGGACGTGACGGGTAGCAGATGGCGGCTTCCGTAAAGCGCAGCCCGGGAGATTCGAAAACGGCCAGTTTCAAAGTGCTGGCCCTGCCTCCCGCCACCCCTACTGAGTCTGCTGCAGACTGTGGTGGGTCCCGCCTTCAACGAATGTCCGGTAGGCCGAGGACCCGAAAAATGTCCTTGGCGGCCCCTTTTTTTTTTTTGATTTTTTGCTGGGGGGGCGGTTCCGGACGTCCAGTACTGGACACCGGACCCCTACAAAATGTTTGGGGGTGTCTGGAAACCGGTCCGGAGGTCCGGGCGGTAACCATGATGTATATATATATTTAATCTGGAAAGACCTATGTTGTGTAGAATTGCATTGCAAACAACTGAGGGTCACCACGGAATTGCTTACAGAATCGATGATAAAAAAAGAAAAAAAAAAAGGAACAAAAGCGAAGGCACACCCCTTTAAAAGTTTAAACCCATTTTTGGTGTGCGCCCCTTTAGTCTTCCCCCCCCCCACTCCTCCCCCCGGAACGGACAAAACAAAATAAGGGCGCCCATACTTCGGCTGCGTCTGGTGGGTGCAGAAAAGCTTCAGAGATGGGGGGGGACAGCATGGCAAAATAAGGCGATTCGGAAACCCAGATCTTTTCATCACTATGACGTGCAACACTAACTGGCCGGAGATCAAACAAGCCCTGTTGCCAGGTCAATGTCCTAACGACAGAGCGGATCTTCTCGCGAGAGTGTTCAAAGGTTATCTTGCACAACTCATCGATGAGATCAAGAACAACAGGTGGCCTAGTCTATTTACCTGTAAACAATATGTCTGGACGTGCCGTTCACCTGAATTTTTTAGCACGTAGAAAAATGCTCCCTGTGACGTTTCTTTTTATAAGAAATAATAATAGCTGTAATAATTTACTGATTCTGCAAAAAAAAAAATCAATCAGTCCATTCTTAACGGGCAGATGCACTCACCATTTTTTCTCAGATTTGGCGAGTGGTGGGCCGAGGGCTTAGTAGGGAATTGTTTAATAATAATTAGTATGTACTTTTTTTTCCAAAAAAAAAGCAAGGAATCCATTATCAGTAAGCATTTTCTTTTCCCCCTTTAATATTTAAAATTAGGGTAGGCTACTAGAGTGGCCCGGGGCAAGTTGCCCGGCCGGTCAAAAATGAATAATAAATAACAAATAATTTTATTTTTTATTTCATATTTGATAAAGAATTTTGACGTAACCCTGAGGCAAAACTTGTTCAGTTTATTTTTGTGCATCCCATAGTTGTTTTCCAGACTTCTTTGTTTTTTTTGTTTTTTTTGCTGGCCCCTTCGCTGGTCCTTGCACGGCTGGGCCGCCCGGTCAAAGAAGGTCAACCGAGGCTGCTCGGCTGGTATTCCAGAAATGGGGTAACTATGGTGCCGTCCCGAAACAGTTCGAAAATGCACTTCATGCATTCCCCCCGAACATAACAGGGCCCCACGTGACCCTCCCGCACCCCAAACTTAGCTTGTATACGTTCGACATTTCCAGGCCTTTTCCCTGAAGTGCATTTTCAAACCCTAAACCCTGACTGTGCCTTAGTTTTCGCTTCAAAAAATACTAGCTAAGTGCCCGCGGTGCGGCTGGTGCGGTCTACGCCCGCAGAAATAACAAATGCAGTGGGTGACCTCACACTGCATGTTGGATGGCTCGCCTACAAGATGTTCGTCCGCAGAAACGACGGCCTACTGCGGGGCACAAAACGACAGCCGTGCGAGAAATGGAAAAAGAAGGAAAAGAAAAAAAAAGAAAAAAAAGGGGGGACACAAAACGACAAGGTGCAAGAAATGAAAAAAGGAGAAGGGGGACACAAAACGAAGGCCAAGCGGGGGGGAAAAAAAGAAAAAAAAAGCCGCCCGCATATTGGAAGGCTTGCCTCCAAGATGTTCGTCCGCATCAATGCCAGCCGTGTGCCCCGCCCCCGGGGCACGCGCCCTCGTTTAATGGCGCGCTGTGAACATTTCAGTACGCGCACCCCTCTGCACACTCCCCCGCCCTCGATCGCCTTCATCCGCCGCCCCTCACCAAAACTTCGACCCGAATCCGGCACGCAGCTCGTCATGGACCTCCCCCCTGCCGCCAATGCTGCTTAAGGGATAGGATAAATATCAAACACCGCAACAGCCAAACGGGCAGAAAAGCTGCTGAACTTTTTTTTTTTTACCTGTGAGCTTTTTCGGGACTAACAAAAACAAAACAAAAAAAAAGGAACTTGGAAGTCGTTTCTTTTCTTTTATAATTATTTCTTTTAACCTGTGGGCCGATTTCTATTTAACCTCCGCCGGACTTTAAAAAAAAAAAGGAACTTGGAAGTCGTTTCTTTTCTTTTATAATTATTTTTTTTAACCCGTGGGCCGATTTCTATTTAACCTCCGCCGGACTTCTTTTGTTTTTTCAGAACTTGTGGGCCCCCTCGAACTGCTGGAATACAGGAGCATTTGGCGTATTTCTCTCTTCCTCAACCACTGGGTACTTCTTGTAATCTTAAGAGTTTCCTTTTAAGGAACCGCTGAACTGCATTGAAACTCGATCTGAAAGCGGAGAATCTCTTTTAGCACTTATTGACTAGATAAGACTGACAAGGAGTGGCTAGCTTTCCAAGCTGAT